TAACTATTAATGATTATATAAATTACTTATTTTTAGACCTAAGAAATTTTTGTTTTTCTTCTAAAAAAAGAAAATAATTTATTATTGAAGGTAGATTATTTTGACAATATATAATATATATATATAATTTATTGAATTTGAACATGTTCATGAACTTGAACTGAACTCGAACTGAACCAAGACTTTAAGTTCAGGTTTAGTTCAAGTTTATAAATTTAAAGTTCAGTTCAGGTTCAGATTCAAAGATCTGCAAAATTTAAAATTCAGTTTAGGTTCAATTAAACTTGAACCTGAACCTAAATTAAACTAAACTGAACTTTGGAATACTAACCAATAGTAAACCACAGTTCATATATACCAACTAAAATACAAATCATAAAACATGTAATAAAAATAAACTTTGCCAGATTTACTTTAAAAATAAAGAACCAGAAATATATTAATAAGGAAATGGAGATCCACTTTAAAGTTCTAAGTTTTCATATGAAATATGCACCAGAAAAACTGATTCTTTGAACCAGAAAAATAATTACCAATTGATGTAAACCTCAAAATACATAAGTACAAAGAGTTGAGATAAGTAACCCCCTAGTCAGGTTGCAGATATGACAACTAGTATAAAATCTAGTAATAGACAAACTACTTAAATAGACACTTAAAAGACACAGGTATGGCTAGATGTACCCTCCAAATATGTATAATGACTGTTCTAACACAATAAAAACACACATGACCAAGAAGTCACCTTAAAAAAAAAAACAATACTAAAACCTTACATAATTCAAATTTATATTTGAAGTCTCAAGGTTTTGCATTTTTAAAATGATTTGCTGGATCTTTTTATAATATTGGTATAATAATTCTGCACCATTGACGGTTTACAAGGGTATATAAAAATAAGTCTTTAGACTGGAGCTTATTAAATATTATACTGTAGCATTCATTCGGTAATGTTATTATATTTGAAAATTGATCAAACGTTTTATAATATATATATTAACAACCATTTTACGAAAATATTTATTTACTAAACATGACATCCAAAGCGATACGGAAATCTTTTGTTGGTTGCGGTAAAATAAACATGTCGAAATTGTGTATTGTTTTACAGGAAACTAGCCAATAAATTTGTAGAATTTTGATCACGTGAAATTAATATATGTAATATCAATGTTATGTTAAACAGAAAATTAAATTGGTCTGGCCTAATTAAATTTAAACCATATTTTTTTTGTACCAATTTATATATAAAATTTGAGTATACGTATTAACTCATTTGACCATAAGTGACAGCAATCATTGAGATATGTTCTACAACTGTTAAAATCATTAATATATTATATAGGGTTTATCAAACCAATTATAAATTAATAATTACCATCTTCTTGTACCATAATATATGAATATCTATTCAACCTCAATCCTGATCTCTATTTATAAATCCGTTCCTGGAGATTGATATTAAATGCGCATATGTTGTGTTTATTAACATTAATTTAACAAATTTAATTGGTTTGAGTTTGACACCATTGATTGAAAGTGGGATATATTTTTGGGATTAGTTGAAACCAAATAAAGTAGAAATTCCGGTTCTCAAACTCAAACTACGTAGGAATAACATAATTTTAAAAAAAAAGATTTGAACCGTAACCTTAATCTAATCCGTTCAAAAAACCTCTGCTATAATCTTCAGCTCCCATTGCTTGAAAGACCGCAAGTTCGGATGATTCTATGTCCCTAGTAGGGTCTCTTTCGGGTGACAAGAAGTCAGACGGCTGTTCTTCAGTAAGAGGTTGTGTTAACAGTATTAGTCTACCATCAGTATCAGAATATGCACCATCATCCTCAATTTCTTCTTCAACTTCATCCTCGCCTTCATCAAAATCTTCAAGTTCGTCATCAAGATCTTCGTCTTCATCTTCTTCATCTTCCTCCTCTTCACCATCATCATATTCTGAATCATCATCTGCTATGTCATCTGCTGCTACTATTTCATCATCCTATGTAAAAAATTGTAGCTGTGAATTCCCAATATTTAATACTAATCAGAAAAAACATAGTTCAAAAAATTAATATTCTTACAGAATAACTGTCTCCCGATTTGAATCTGTAAACACCAGGAATAGGTGTTCGTTTACATTTATTTTTTATTGCTTGCAACTTGTATATAATAGAATTATTAAATTAATAACAATAACTTAATAATGAGACATACGCATAAAGTTGCAGTAGAAGTAATACTTGAGCTTCATACTCCTCCTCTTCTTTATCCAAGGCAACTGCTTCATTCACCATGGCATGCCTGTACCAAGAATGAACTACAGTTCTAGGTTCAAGAGACGGTGTCCAAAGGTGAGGGAATGACATGATAGAATATAGTTTTGAAATATAATAGTGAATCGAGTTATATATATACAAATATGATGAAATTCGATTGGTCAATCATTTGAATAAGTACGCGAAACGCGATTTTTTATATTTAGCGTTACCGCAAAATGGTTAGAATATACTTACGTCCCGATCAACTTGAAATCCAGAAAACTTCTAGAGATGAAACGGATATAACAGGGGAAGGTAAGGATAGCAAAAGTAATTAAAAACAGGTGAATGATAAATTCAGATTTAATTATTCGGACTTTAGTCATCACCTGTTTTATATCAGTGAAAAAAAATGCTTAAACCTGTTTTTTTTTTTTACTATCCCAGGGGAAGGTCTCATTTTATTTGATTTACAAGGTGACATTAAAACTATTGGAGATCCGAAGGGTTCAAAAATTGGAACCTTGACATTTGATAATGTAAGTTCAAACTAAGTACGTGTAATCTCGATCGCATAGCGTTTCGTTGCTTCCAATATATATTTATGATGTATATGTTTCTTAGGGTATCCCAGTTCTTCAAGTTGGTCATTGGTACATCATGGGAAAAATTGCAGAATTAGAAAAACCTATAATGGTTATTAAAAAACGTGAAAAGGATTCTTCCATTTACATGTCCGATTCATCGGGAAGGAGAGGAGAATCGCTAATTGCAGAAAGACTAGAAGATCTGAACATTGTGGATTCTCACGAAAATATTGAGCATGATATAGTTCAGATATTTAAAAAAGTCTACATGTTTACAGCTAGGCCCATACCTATGATGATGGATAATGTTTCGAACTAAACCTGCTGCCCTGCCATGTAATTTTTTTTTTTAATAAACAGCCACGATATAGTGATGGAGAAAAGTAGATTTATTCACGATGCCTTGCAATACGAATTTAATTAAAGGATTGTTTTTATTGTCGGTGAATCAAAAAAACTCTACGACCATAGTATCGATTAGTTTAACGTGGATAATATAGCATAACGGATTTTCCGTGAATTAATATACACACTTAACACTTATAGTGGTTTGAAAAATGTGAAATTCGCAGATCAAAAAAAAAAAAAAAGAAATCGCTCGATTTTTAGGTGATTTCTGATTTCTTAAAACTACTCCGATATCTTGGTATGAAAATTATCATATCAGAGTAGTTTCAAGAAATCAGAAATCACCTCAAAAATCGAGTTTTTTTTTTTTGATCTGCAAATTTCGCGAAATTTTCAAACCGCAATAATAGGACACATATGGGCGAAACTCTGATTTTGGGGGTTTATTGCAAATTAATGATAATAATAATATTCCATAAAATTAATCCAATCATTTGTATTATGTAATTGACGAAATTTAAATATAAAAATCGAATTATATGATTGTATTTGCTTGATCAATTGCATAAATGCATCACTTAATTTCAGAATTCAAATAATCACCATATCCTCATCAAAAAAATTTTCGTCCATATAGCGGGACAGCATAACCAAAATATTTTTTACTAATTTTCCTAGTTTCTTAAATTATTACATATATTAAAAGTTTTAACAATTTAAAGTTTATTGTACCCTGGGTGGGAATAGAATCGGAACAGTCCCGGATGAGAATTTTGTAATGTTGGCCCAAAATATACTAATTAAAATTTAAATTTTCTTATTCAAACCCTAATTCTGACAAAATTCTCATGTAGGGCAGCCCGATCCTGAATTGGGACGATTCCAATCTGAGATACATCTGCCAGTGTCGATCCCCTAATGAACTATAATCATTTGGTTAGCATAGCTTTTTTTGATTTCTT